AGGAGTCTTCTGTTATTCATGGCTAGTTTGTTTATTGGGTTTTTGGTTGAGCTTGTCAAAGTCGGAAATCCGATTTCGGATGGCATCGTCTTCGTTTTCACCTTGCTTGATGCGTAAGAGGATTGCAAAGTCTGAAGCGACACTGGCTGTTCTTGATACCTTTCAGGAGCTGCATCTCGAATGGTAAGCCAGAGAAATTATTGTATTTGATGTTTGTTTTTTGTATCTAATTTAATGAAGTCGAGCGGAGTTTATGCGGGCATTTAGTTTATGCACGTTTGTAAGATTTGAGACAATGGTCTGACCGAGTATCAGGTTTGATATAAGCTTACAGAACTTTAAAAAGCCTTTAGACAGTTTCTCACCGCAATTTGAAAGAAAACTTTCCAAAGAATATTTAGTTATAATTCTAGCCGGAAAAGAAATCTTTGAGCGATTTTCTTGCCTCGAGTTCGTCTTTGAAAAAAGCAAACACCGGTAAGCCGGCTTAAAACATAAACTTAAGCTTGAAGCTTGAAGACTCAGGATTTTTAGGGACACTTTAATACTTGTCTTCCTGAATGAAAATTGTTGTCTCTGTATATGTTTCACCGGATTATATTTCTTTTAATTGATTGTTAGTAGTGTCTCTTGTAATTTTAATCGCTGTGCCGATTGTTTTCAGTCGTTCAGTGAACATCGCTCGAAGGAGTACTCAAAATGCTGCGCGTTAAACCATTAAATAAAAAATAAACATGATAAATTCTTTATAATGTTGGAGCATAACTCTGTTAATGTTCATTCAAACACTCGCCACAGCTCGCACTACAAAAGTGAGAACCGGATGTCCGTATAGGTGATTTTGGAAATTTTTTTAACAGTTTGTATTGTGAAATACTGCTTTCTGTCCGAGGTTTGCCGGTATGATAAAAACAGTGCCTCATGCTACTGTTTCACCTCAGATGTGATGTATAAATGGTATAAAAGGTTGGTTTATAAATACACGCACCCAGATTTGTTGACAAGATTTTGCAAAGTAAACTTGTCGAACGCAAAAAAGTTGGCCTGATTTTTTTTTCCACTAATTAATCTACGGTGATCAAGAGCCATTATGGCTCTTAAATGTGATCGAAGATGACTGCCAGTTTTTGGGTGTACATATGAGGCTATCAACTCGATGTAAGATTTGGTTCACTCTTGGGCTGTTTGCAAATTATTTTTCTCTAAAATCAGGTAGCCTTTCCCTCAAAAGTCACATAAACGTGCTCTAAAGTTAACTGAATTGTGGAATTCGAATACAAGTCTATTGTTTAATTTAAATTATAAGTTTATTAATGGGAGCCTCGCTTTTAGCCCTGGCTAAATCTATATATTACGAACTGATAATATGAATAACGAAACAAATGGTTTCAATAATCGGGATGTTTTCATAAAGTAGCCAAAGTAGTCTCGCCACCAACCATTTTTTAAATGTTCGAAAATCCCAGGAGAAGCAGGCAAGCAAGAAATTTTACAACAAATGTTCCGTAAATTCTAGATCTCAAATCGTCTTCCGAAGAGACATTTTCCGAAAATTGACGTTGGGTGCCCCTGCGGCTGTCCAAGCAGTTTTCCTGTAGAAATTTCTTAATCACTAGCTATTACATCACTCACTTTGGTTTCTTTGTTTTACGCCACCCGTGAGTTTGAAAGGTTCTTACACCGAGGTTGAGCCGGAAAGTTAGGGCCTGTTTACATGGAGGTGGGGGACCCCAGGTAGGTGAGGTAACCCGCTTAGGTGAGGTAAAAAAATAACCCCCCTTTACATGCAATCTTACAACCCCACCTTCCCGGGGTGTACTTTCTCAAGATTATTGAATGGTCGCTAAGCACGTAAACAAGAAAAATGCTGGCAAACCACGAGTTTTGGCGATTAATGCACTTCTTTACTCACTTGTTGCTCTTGCTGCAACACGTCAGTGCAATAGCTTTCTATTGTTAACTTTAATCATAATGCAAAGACACCGCGAAAGTGAATTTTGCGCGAATTTGATGTATCACGAATCCGACCCCGGCCAAGCGGGTTACCCCACCTTGAAACGTTTACATGACAAATTGTGACCCCGGCTGAGAGGGTAACCCGGTCTGGTAGACCGGGCTACCCGCCTTGGCGGGTCACCCCACCTATCATGTAAACGTGATCAAATGAAAATGAGAGATTATATGGACAGGCGGGTTACCCCACCTAAGCGGGTTACCTCAACTACCTGGGGTCCCCCACCTCCATGTAAACAGGCCCTTAGGGCCTGTTTACATGGAGGTGGGGGACCCCAGGTAGGTGAGGTAACCCGCTTAGGTGGGGTAACCCGCCTGTCCATATAATCTCTCATTTTCATTTGATCACGTTTACATGATAGGTGGGGTGACCCGCCAAGGCGGGTAGCCCGGTCTACCAGACCGGGTTACCCTCTCAGCCGGGGTCACAATTTGTCATGTAAACGTTTCAAGGTGGGGTAACCCGCCTGGCCGGGGTCGGATTCGTGATACATGAAATTCGCGCAAAATTCACTTTCGCGGCGTCTTTGCATTATGATTAAAGTTAACAATAGAAAGCTATTGCACTGACGGGTTGCAGCAAGAGCAACAAGTGAGTGAAAAAGTGCATTAATCGCCAAAACTCGTGGTTTGCCAGCATTTTTCTTGTTTACGTGCTTAGCGACCATTCAATAATCTTGAGAAAGTGCACCCCGGGAAGGCGGGGTTGTAAGATTGCATGTAAAGGCGGGTTATTTTTTTACCTCACCTAAGCGGGTTACCTCACCTACCTGGGGTCCCCCACCTCCATGTAAACAGGCCCTTAGTCACGCGCAGATCCGAAAACACAACACCCATTACAAAAGCTTTTAGTGAAAAGTTTTGCCGTGACTGCTGCAGACACCATGAATGGTTTACATGAAGGATTCTGGAATTCATGAAACAAATTTTTTAGACTGAAGAAAAACGGGGACATCTTTGAAATAGAGTCTCGAATTGTCCACGTTCGATATTATTAAAATTCTAACATGACTCAGAGGCATAAGGGTCAAAATTACAAATTTCTCACGACTCCATTGTCTCGCAATTCCCAGAACAGACTTGAGCACAAAGAAAACCAAACCAAATATAGAAAAATGACAGGAATTAGAGCCGCGGAGTTATGTTAGAATTTTAATATATGGAACGTGTGCTCTTCAACCCATTGCATTTTAATCGTGCGTTAGGTGTAAATAGCCGCGCTTGTGTACTCAGGACCTCACGAGGAACTATAGTCAACTGGGCATAGCAGGGTCTTTCTATGTTCTGCGTGTGGTCTTTGTATTTTCATCATCTTTTATACTTGGGAATTCAATTGTCTTTAGGGAAATTTACCCGCTAGGAAAACAAAGGTTAGCTCACAGCTATTGAAGAGCATCTCGTATTGTACGGCGATAAAAATCATTGAATGTTTTTAATGTACAATTTTTTACACAATATTATAGTATATGTATACTTTAACAGTGGGTTCAGACGTACCCACTCCCTGACTCGCATCCCTGTTCAAGGGACGGCGACTAGCAGAGGAGATAGGGCTTAACTCCCACTTCAAGGCCCCCACTATCTGAAGACTGCTCAACCATTTATGCAATTCATGGCACTGATGGCACCTTTAAACAGGCCCCTTAAAATTTGTCTTGTGAGAGCCCGGTGTGACAATTGTGTTCCATAGTGTAAGGACGAATCGGGGCGCAACAACATTGCACGCCTAATTGATCACTGATTCCGACTTGATTGTCAAAGACTACCTAAGAGTAATATACTGTCTTATCTTGTACGCCTCCTCACATGACCTAGTGTAACTTTCATAATTACATTACTGTCAATGTTACAATGATGACGATAAATATTACTGTAATAGGGGCTGATTTCATCGAAATATCGTATGGTGAGCCATACTCTGCTCATTTGATTGTTTATGACGGTTAAAGTGCTACTACGACGAAAATTTTTGTTTTTGTTTCCGAGTTTTTTTAACATAAATCTTTTGTATATGTTCAAAATTATACAAATAGCGAAAAATTGGAACGATAATTGCGTACGGGGGCTGGAAATTTCCCACTGAAAAGTGCGCAAATACCGTCCGCCATTACAAAGTTCGCAAAGCAATAGCCCGCGAGATCTCCGCAAAGCGGTCGTGCGTTTGACCACGTGATTTATGCACTGTGACGTAGAAACATCAACCAAAAGATTTTGCATTTGGGAAAAGTTCGAGAGTTTAGAGCCTTTTAACAAGACGTTTAAGATGTGATCTCCGTCGGATTCCTCTTCCTGCACATCTGAAAGTGATCTAGAAAGTTTTACAGTTGACGAAGTGATGGGGGAATTGTCTGAATTTGCGCCGTACGACGACAGTTGCGAACCCCTTGCTACCGAGGAAGAAGCCGCGGACTACAACGAAAGAGTTCATCGCGAAGAAGAAGAGGAACAACAGTTTCAGCGAAGATATTCCGGGAGAGGTGCCAGCGAATGAATGGTATGGTATTATCATGGAATGTAGATTTATATTTTTATTTTCCAATTTCAACATACCCGTCGTTAAATTGTGCGCGTGAGGAACGCGACTGTGTGTTTTGTTTAAGTTTACAATTTCGTTGCTGTGTGATTAACTGTAGTCCTGATTTTATGCGATAGTTTTATTGAAGAGGTCAGACAATTAATAATTTTATACAGACGTATTTTTCTTGTGTTTGACGAATTTTTCACATTATTTTGCAGGTGTTCGTGCTCGAACTGCTCTGTCAGCCTTGTTACAAAAGCGCAGGAGTGCATTTGCTGCAAAGAGATCGATCGCTGCGAAGAGGTCATGGAAGAAGCCATTGGAGACCGGACCTTATGCATAACCCTCCATCCAGGGTTTGAAAGCGTCTGCTTAAACCGCCACGTATTAGAAGTGGCTGCACTGGGCCTAAAAACGCGAGCTGGAAAGTCGTACACAACTGTTCGTGAGCAAAGCAACTAAAGTGATAATGAGTAAGTTGGGGTATTGTTGACTTTGTATCGGAACGATCGAACCGTACATAGCATTGAATAATTGATACATCTAAGCTTATCGCCGTGGACTGATCTCATAGAATCACATTTTTTATTTTCTAAATGGCTTTATTGCCCCAACTGCTTATTTTTAAAAGTAGTATTTATTTATCTCCATCCAATCCCTCCTTGAATTAACAGTGATCTCATTTCTCTAACTAGATTCCTGAGCCTGAGGTCTGTGGCCTATCGCCAATTTACAAGACTGCTGTGGAGTTATATTGGTAGTTCCAGGCGATACTCCTTGCCCTGTTGTGCCTACAATAAAATCAGGAAACAATTTCCGAGTCAAAATGGCCATTATCGTGGATTCGAAGATGAAGAAAATGAATAATAAATGCACTGTTTGTTCTTGAAGAGTGTCATGTATGCCATTGGGGCCAAGAAGGACCTACAGTAGTTGCGTAAATACTTGTCCGTAAACACTTAATTTTATGGGCCAAACTTCAGAATTCTCAGCCACTTATTCGCTTTTTGTTGAATGACAAACTTGCCCACTGTGTGAAGCCCTGTTCTTCTAGCGTTCAGTTAAACTCAAGTTTAGTGGCTGGGAATTCTGATGTTGCTCCAATTTTCATGTACACAAGTAATAAAAATTAAATCGAATTCAGCCTGAATTTAATTACAGTTTTAATGTATCGTTTCTTTCTTTTCACTCGGCTCACAGAGCACTGCAAAACTTAATAGCAGGTTACCTGCTGGAAACTTTCCTAGCAGGTCTGGTTGAGTCTTCCAGACTTTTGTCTGGCTACAGTTTCTGCAGAAACTTTCTACGGTAAACAAGGTACCTGTCTGTGATACAGAAAGTTTGGGTTTTGAAAAGAAGCACAAGTGGCAGAACTGAAACAAAAGAACAAGTTTGGAAAGGAAAACAATTTCCTTCGGTTCCTCTCGAATGTTTTTTCCTTGCAGATCCAACCTGTAAAAAATGATTGAAAGGAAATACTCATTTAATCATAGCATCTGAAATAATAAAATAACAATAAAAAAAATGATTATCATTTTTATTGTTTTTCTCAGGGTGTTGCCAGTCTTTCAACTTGTTGTAAACCTGGCTAATCGTGGGTTGGGATTTTATTCTCACATACATCCTGAAAAATGCTTTTTTATAATAATTCTGTTGATTGCACACATGACAACTTTGAGCCCTTAAACTATCTAGCCCACCCCAACGATGCATAATTTATTACAAGTGGTTGAGTGGACAAACCAAACATTTTTAGGCCTGGGACTTCCAGTCTATGGGCTGGCTGTGCCTCTTCTTTTTTTTTTTTTTTTTTTTTTTTTGCAATTCTTATCTGAGTAAATTAAAAAACAAATTTCATGTACTCTTGTTTCTAAACAGATCCTCTCATAATGGAAGTTAGTTTTAGGCCTAAATCACTTCCCAGAGGATACTTAGAGCTAAGATGTTAAAATGCAATAAATTTTGCATCTTTGTACCTTGGGTTCTGATGAGTCTTCACCGAGTCATCACCTTCCTTTAGTTTTTTATATGCATCTTCGATTTCTTCAGGACTCCATTTAGGTCTTCATCACACTCAAACTCCTCATACGTGGTGTCCTGCATTTCCTGCTCATCTTCTGATTCATCCTCTAGCCCTAACTCTGTCTCATTTGTTACTGGCCATGGATCAGTTTGAATAGCTTAAACAAATGGAATTAAAAAAATTCTATTACCATTAAAATTTTAATTATTATTAAATAATCAAATATTGATAAAATGTAATAAAAATATAAAGATATGCAGTTATGCCTATATGACTCATCAACATCAATAATTACTGTTTACTCACCAGCATTCACCATCAGCAACTGCTTCGGCTCTTGTATGCTCTTAAAGGTTTCAACCCACTGATCTTGATTGGAGATTAACTTACTCTTCAGTCTTGTGACTTTGCCCCTTAACTGAGTCACCTCACTCCTCAGGGTTTTGCATGTTGTGCAGTTCCCAGCATGTCCAGTTGGAGTATCCTACAAAAAACAAGCTTTCAACATTAATACAGGCTGTAATAACAATAAGACTTCAGAATTTTTGTGTTTTAGTATTGTTGTAAAATAACTGCACATGTCATGTTGTTATGATAATACAAAGATGCAAATAAACATTAATTAGAGTTATGCGCCTACCATAGAAACCTGTTCAAGTTCAGGAATCGTTAATGATTCATCAATCTGCATAACTTCATCCATATCCTGCAGTTTTTCGATTCCCTGAGCCTCCAGGATCTGCATGGTCTCAGTAACCTCATCAGTGCCGGAAATCCCTTGGCTCTCGAGAGTTGTCTTATCACCAGGAGTACCTAGGACCTCTGAAGCCATCTCAGCATCAACACTCATCTCACCCGTCTCAGTCTCAGGGATGCAGCCCTCCTTTTCACGATTTACCTCAAGCAAAGAACCCTGACTTGTGTTCAGAACACCCTCGACTTCTGGAGACTCCTCAGGGTTGAGATTGGGAGCCCCCATAGTGTCAGCACTCTCCTCAGGTGCAGAACTTCCTTTCAAAGAGATCACCTCTTCTTCAGGATTGTCTTCTTCCTCTGCATCCTCATTAGTAGTTTGACCAGCCAGAATTTCATTTAGTAGCTAAAAATGAAAATAGGTACGACCATTTTTTATATCTCCCCTTCAAAACAAGTTTAAATTTGAGCTTTATGTCGATGTTTTCAAAAGTAGAAATGGAAGCAAGGTTTAACCGCATCTTTGCCTTAAAATGTATGCATCATTTGCAGACAGTGAAAATAGAATTAAAATACAAACGAAAAAAAACTCGCAAACAGTAACTGAACTTATAGGAATGTAGAAATCAGACTAAGTCCATTTTTGGTCGTTTTAAAAGACTCGCGTGTAACTCCTAATATGCTGTAATATTTCTTGGAGGGAAGTTTGGAGTACTGTCAAATCTCAAAGTAACAGCAAGATAATCTCTTAAAAAATAGAGAGCCGGATTTCTATGTAGCTTCCCTTTTTCTAAATTTTACGCTTGAGTGGAAAGGTCTGGGAATTGGGGAATGGACTTCACGTCCACTCAGCGCAAATGCCCGTTTTACTATAACTATGAGAAGAAAGCAGAAAAGTATGAAAACACATGCAACAATATGGGAAGTCCAAATAGTCAGAGCATTCATTACACGAATATTGAACAACGATGCCAGAAAAAATAATGTCACAGGTAAATGGGGAAATAAATATAATGGTGATAAGCACAGCGCAAATACATTGTAATTTCACTCACCGATCGTCGACTCCGCTTTGATAGTGTTTGAGAGGATTTTTTCCAAATGGTTGGAAACGTCCCCTTCTTCAAATTCCTTTTCATACCTTTCATCGGAAAAGCAAGCGTAAAACAATCCCTTGTAAAATGCTCCGAGCACACAGCAAATTTTCCCACTATGTTGAAATCCTTCCGATGAATGGACACGAACCTTTTCCACTTTAATCTAACGCTGCCCGAATCAGGAGAATTCATCGTTCTTTACGTTTCCACAGTCCTGAACAACACAACGTCTACCAGGCATACTTTCGCTTTAAGTCACAAAAGCGAAGAAAGAACCTCCAAAAGCTTCCAAAAATATCTCGTCCTGCATGCGAAATTAGCCTCGTTTGTTTACCTTCTTTTGTCGCGTTGATTTTTCTACGTCACATCTCGCCCCAAATCCTTCAAATACTACTCCCGGTCATTTTTTGAATCGAGTAATGGCGGCAAGACATTTACGAAAATTGCCGTGCAAATAAACACACTTCCAGATCATATTTGGACTCCAAACTTGGCACGGTAAGTCACTTTTACATACATTTTCGAAATATGTAATCAAAAACAAATTCCCAAATTTGATCGTAGTAGCACTTTAATTATCAGAGATAAGTTTTTTTCATCAGCGTATGCACAATGCTATACCTAAAACAACGTTCGAAAGAATGATGAACTTGTTCATGAAACTAGCTCTTGCGGCACTGGTAGAAACAACAGTCGTAGTTTCTGAAAAAAAAAAGAGAAAAAGAGAAGTGAAAAGGCGTCAGTATCGCGATGCAAGGGTTGTTGTTTAGCCTTCGTGCAATACTTTTAATTCTTACAATTTACGTCTCCTCAATATTTAACTAAATATTTTTGTAATATATTGAATGTCTGTTTGTATATCTAGCTGATTTTTTGAAAACCAACCTAACGAAATTTGCAGTCATTTGAGTGACGAAGCGTCAAAAGGCATGACTGTTTCCTATGCCCGAGAAGCTCCAAAATCATAGTAACGAAGGAAAATTAAGGAAAGGAGAAAAAGAAAGAACGAGGAGAAGGAAAGGAGGAGAAAAAAAAAGCAATGGCAAAAAAAAGCAAAAGGTCCATTTGGCGATAAAGTTATCAAAAATCCGGCTAGATATGTATATATATTTTTTTTTCTGGCAAATAAATAAACTGAAACTAAAACTGAAAAAGGTGTTCATGCTCTCGACCTACAATTGGGCTTGCAATTTTACTTGAATTTAGACGTCCCCCGTTTACTTTGCTTATCACACAAGTCGGAGACGTCCTGACACAACGTCCAGGACGGCCCGATTCAGTCTTGAGGGTACTGCCCAGATGGATGAGAGGATTCTTTTTAAACACACGCCACGCCTTGCTTGTTTTGAGTTTGTGGGTAACTGAATGAACTTTCTCTAAAAGGCTAGACAAAACAAAGATCAATTGAGTTCCGGGTAACTAACCTCCTACCCCTCCCTAAGTCAACATTAACACTTACTTCTCGCTTAGGGAATATTGTGACTTAAGGGAGGGGTACGAGGTCAGTTACTCCGAACTCAATTGATCCTAGTTTTGGGTAGTCTTTTAGGGAGAATTCATCTCTCAGGGTATTGATTAGTCTAATACGAAGCCGTTTTTTTGTGTCGTAAGGAAACGACCCAAAGAACGGCTGCCAACAGAGGCTAGAAAGAGCCAAAATATCATGTCAGGCATTCCGCAAAGATTTCCATCACGTTCATATTGAAGCACTCCCCCAAGGAGCAAGTCAGAAACAATGCTGATGCGCTAACGTTCAAGAACGATCCTCAGATTTGCACATGATCCGTGCATGATGTAGTTCGGAATATTGGAAAATTCCATATATTGTTTTGCAATTCCTGCACACTGTAACTTTACAGGAAAACATGTCTCTTGTTTCTTACCTGGTTTGCGACATTTATCTTTGGGTTGAAACTCCATTAGTTTTCCTGAGGATCTTTGTAAAATTAGATCGAAGGCTTTGGATGGTTCATCGACTTGCTTTTCTATCAGTGGTTGAATAAAAGATTTAAATCATTAAAACCTCTCTAGTTATAAACAATCACATTCAGAGGAGAATCCTTGTTCAAAATTTCTTCCTTATTAGTTTGAATAACTCTTAGTCTACTCCTCTTTTGTCATAAAGCTATAAAGCAACTCTGAATAAAAAATAGTGATAAAAGTCAGCGACCACCGGACAAACCTTCGAGATTTTAAATTATAACAGATATGTCTTGAGCAACTTTGTTTCTGAATCTCAATTTCATGAAGACTTGGCAAAGCAGTTCACCAAGGAGGGCTGACATTATTTGATTTCTTTGCACAAAATTAAAGATTGAAGCTTTTATAACTTTGAAATCTAATGAACTGGATGAGTTTTCCCCCTTTATATTGACTCATCGACTATAACAATTTTATTAAATGGGTCGATCGAGAGACTAACAAAGGTTTAGACTTTGTTACTAACCATTTCCCATGATTCCAAACTTGACAGTCATACAGCCTTGAACTTGACTGTTCTCCATTCTAATGTAAAATATCCGCCACTCTGGGATGTTAAGCAACGCTGAAACCCTTTTTGTAAAGTTCAATCTACAAGAGAACGAAAGGACATTTTAAATTCAGCTTTGTCTTGGATATTATGACCGAGCGAGGAGTGTGTATATCCTACCTCGTCCCCAGGGCGCTTTCCCCTAGCTTTGGCACGTCCCACCTCCATCCCCGGGTTGCGTTCTGATGCTATCGCCGTCTTCAAAATCGCAATATATATCTAACATTTTTTTTTTTGAATGAGCACGGTAGTGATAGTTCACGCTAGAGGAATTCGTAATCCCTTTATCACTGGAAAGTGAAATATCAAAACTCAGGGGTTATTTTACGAGCAGGTCTCGTCGTATATGATCAACCGTTTAGTGTTGACCTGCCTGCAAAATCAGTTGTCTGACGTTTCGACAAGTTGTGCGGAAATTAGGATCAGATTCTCTATTTAACTATAAGTGGAAATTTTCAATCTGGTGTACTTGACTATGAGTTTCAAAACGGTTTAAAGGAGAGAGAAAAACAAAAGTTCTGGCGCCAATTTTAGATGATTTTATGACAAGTTATCTCGGCCACCCACTTAAGGTCTCGGTAAAGGAAAACGAGGTGCCCACAGAAAAAAATTCTAGTCGCGCGAGTATTTTCGCTACAAAGGCAAGTTATATATCAAATTAAAGCTAAAAGACTAAATTACCTTATAAAGGATTTTATTTCATCGAATTTCAAAAGGCGCTTAAGTTTTTTGCTCTCGAACTCAGAGGTATCAAGTTTACTGCTGAAGCGCCAGCCCTTTCGCGTTGTTAAATATTCACTTCCTTTTTATTGCATCTGATTGACAGATAAAAGACCTAAAAATTTGCATATGTTTCGTATTAGCGGAATTATTGTATTTCAAACTAAAAAGTCGAATCTAGAGCGCGATTTACGCAAAGAAACTGACATAAAATGAGTTACAAAGGGAAATCGGAAAATTCCTCACACCCGTTTTGAGTCTATATCATTATCCAACATATTTGAAAGTTTCAAAGCGATAGCTTAAAACCTGTCCCGACTGGAGGTCGGAGAATTTTGATTTTTGCGCCTAAAATAGAGTGAGAGAAAATCAGCTCTAAAGATTTAGCGCGAGATCCACGCTTGGCTGGTTAGCTCAGAAAAGGCTCATTTTAGAAGGGTTAAAAAGCACTTTCTGGTTTTCTTTTTCTGCCAAAATAAAATTTAGGACCCACTCATGCCAAAAATAAAAAAAAAACAAAATCGAGCAATGTTCTAAAATTTTCATTTACCGAGACCTTAAGGTGGCAGCCTTCAGTGTTTTTCCTTGAACCTTACTCTTTGATGACAAGCGCGTCTGTATTTTTACCATTTGCTGACACCTTTTAAAAGTGGTTTGAAACAAATGGAAACTATTGGGAGCAAATGGAGATCATTTCCTTGACATTTAAAACATGCTACCATAGCAACATAACAATCTCTGTGTTAAAGCACCCCCCGCCCCGCCCCCGCTCCTATGTTAGCGGAAAAAGCTTGAAATTGTTGTTGCCCTTTTTGCATCTATCTCATGCAAATTCAACTGGGCAAAACCTACCTGGAAAATGTCGTTCCTTCTACGTAGTGTAGTGTCTTCTCAACATACAGAGAATCTACTGGTTTGATGGTAGCACAAGCAAGGCGGGCTGCTCCAGTGTTTTCGGCGTGCACGACAACCCCACGACCAACAACTGGAAAAAAATTAATATTTCACACATCAGTGAATCACTGTTCGAAATTGTCTATGAAAAAAGGCCAACAAATCCATTCAGTGGTCAACAACAATTTCACAGACTTAATTAGCTGCTGTAAGTGGTCATGACTACTGACTGATGATTAAGTAAAACCATTTTTCTTTTCTTTGACAGTCTGGGGCTGTTTCCTTTCTATTTTGGTGATGCACGGTAAAACTTCCCGAGAAACTATTGAGATGTAAGTAGGGGTTAAGGTTTTTCCTTTACCTGACATTTCTCCAAATAGTGGAAGGCTTGGATCTGTATAAAACTGCTTCCCTGAACCAACATTCAAACGGGAATGCTTGCCAGAAAGATCACCAACTTCACAACGCAACATATTGCTAGAAAAACAGGATGACTTATACGATCCCTGTAAACACAAACATACAGTATAGATCTGTAAGTAATGAATACAACAAAAGATCCTTCAAGTGTAGGAGCACTACAACCTAGTAAATGAAACACGACATGCTGTAGTCCATTTTTTTTAACGTTTATCAAGCTTCACTGCCAATGATATTCTTCTTACTCACCTTCCGAATAGCATTTAACTTTTGCGTGCGGAAAGAACTAGCTTTTTATTTGGTGCTTTTTGAAGTATATGTCGGGCGATGCCATTACGGAAGTATCAAACAAACCAACGATGATTCCGGATATCGTAAGTCAGAACGACTCTCTAACATCATAGTGAGGGTCTCACAATTGACAAACGGCTTGAATTTTAATTAATGACAATTGACAAATAGCCCAAAATCTAAGTGACAAATTATTTAAGAATGTGGTTAAGTTGCACAACTGAAAATTTTTTTGCATGGCCTAAGTAACCGTTTAACCAGTTTCTCTTTTGGTTATATCAGTTAAGTACTTTCTCGCGCCAAATTAGCAAACTTGTGCACGAGAACAGCAGAGTATATTTCTTATGCCGTTCCTGGACTGCCTAAGGTCATTTAGAAATTAAAGTTAATACTTGTTAACTAAACTGTAACAAGTATGATCTTATTTCAGAAACTTCATAGTCTCTACGTCTTGGCAAAAAACATGTATTCTCAAGGAGTGATAAAAGGAATCGTGATCGTAAGTTACCATTAAGAGCTTAAACAATACTTACAGCCAGGTCAACCTTATAAGGATTATAATGTCCCCCCAGACTCTTGCATCTCTCGCCCATCGCAGCGTGCGTGTCCCCTCCTTCGGGTTTCACGTGCACGTGCCACGAGTGATTCATACTCTGATAAAGAAAAAAAAACCACAATTCAAGCTATAGGATACATCCCTGTTTACAGAGATTGTTTTTGTTATTCAAATTTGTAAGGAGTAAAACAAAAGAATCTTTTGTTGCAAGAACCCAATGCGCTTGTGATTGACGTATTAATATCAACAAGTGACGTCAGCGTGACTTTCGCTATACCACAAGCCCACAGTAACCGAACAAGAAAATGGCTTAAAAAAGCGTTTGATATTTTCAGAGACTACATACCCTGTGTACCGGGCAGCCTATCGATCGGGGGGTAGGGCGCTAAAAGGAAGCATCGAAGGTAAAGGGGAGAGAAAATAGGTTCCGGCCTCCCAACAACGCCCACCCACTTTCGATTTTCCCATCGGGCTAACTTATTCACTCTCGCGTTCTTTTTCCTTGTCTTATTTGCAACCGGTTGGTCTGTGCTCAAGCTAAGTTATGCTAACCATGCAGCTAGTTTCAGATAGAACAAAGAAGTAGTTGTGCTAATTATTATTTTACCTGTTTGCCTGCCTCGTTCCCATACGACAGATGAACATAAATCGATGTCTCCTCGGGCGACATAGAGCTATCGGACGTCTTGTACTGTATCTATAAAGTGGAGTTGATACAGTTGTCAAGACTACACATAAGTGTATTTATAGTTTATCTGAATAACAAATTAGATGAGGTTGATGTATAAGTGAAAGATTTTGGCATGCTCGTCTTTGCTTTGAGATTATATGTTTTGTGTTCTCTTTTTTTCTCATGACTGGAAATGCATAAATGCTCTGGAAAATCTTATCTCGATATTTACATATGCACATATGTCCCACGGTATATGAACTAAATCAGTGAATTGGACATGGTTCATTGTCCGCTTGACTACCTTACAGGAGGGGCTGTGTCACAGCAGTCCAGTTCATTTTGTTTCATTTTACCAATTACGCGCCCTCAATCGCTATGGAACTTAAAAGAAGCAAAGAAATTACATGTAAATGACAAAGTCAGAGATCCGAGACAAACAAATATGTCTCCTGAGCATTATTTTTGAATTTGCAAGCAGCAGGGATCAACTTTGGAACACTGTTAGGATGAACAGTTTTCCAAAACCCTAATTTCAATCCGTTTCAGTCTTCTTCAGTTTTGCCCTTCCGTGGCATCTGTTTTTCTGTTATGTTATTTTAACCTTCTTTTAAAGTTAAAAGTGGTTATTTTTATGTTTCTCTTAATTTAAAAGGCATTTTGTAATTTCCTAATTTGGCTGAATTTCGTGACACAGCTCCCTTAAGAAGTAAAAACAAAACAAATCTTTTAAATATGCTGGACATAAAAATGCTACGCCATATTTTCAAGCGCAGAGAAATATCTCGCACAACTGTTTCAATTGAGCATGATCGGTCTGCCAAAATAATGATAATAATAAACTCTATTTACGTGTCAGGATATTTAGCTTACAAGCTAATTGATGACGCAACAAAAACAGATACAGATCGAAATAAAATGCTTAAGATTATAAATATAGTGATGAAATTATATCTATAAAATGTATGATAAGAATGTATCGCTATATATATATAAGAATACAATAATAATAATAATAATAATAATAATAATAAAGTAAATTAAGAGTGTCATAAATAGCAATTTTGACAGTTAGAATTATCAACTAGTTCTGCTGTTTTTTTTTTCTGAAAAAGATTTTTTGTTCGTTTGTTTGTTTGTTATTTTTTTTCCTCGATCGCGTTTTTAGACAGAATAATGCCAATAAAACTTACTTACCAAAAGTATGTACCCCATAACATCTGGACCCGTAAAAGTTATTTTGGTTTTCATGACAAACATTTTGTCCACTTCAGCCATTTTCTGATGGACATCTGCACAGACCCATCTCATGCTGTTCATTACTTTCATTTTATGGATGACAACAGAACGACCCTGGATGCTGTTTTTACCAAACAATGGAAGATTGTAGTCCAAATGTGTTCCGGTGTAGCTTGTTAGGTTAAGAAAAGTTCCATATTTCCCACTTAGGTCACCGATTTCGTACTGATCATTCGTTCCTATTAGAAAAGGAGTGTCAACGTTAAAAACAACCTCGTGAGAGATTCGAAGATCCGGGCTAAAGTCAGGCTGCAGAGTAGCTTCCTTGGACAAGTACTTTGCTCCACTTTGGTGGTGAACCCAGGGGTATAAATGGGTACCGGCGACCGGCTGGATAACCCTGTAATGGATGTTTGGTGTAACGTACTAGATAACTTTTGAAAAATCATCAAAAATATGGAAGATGAAGTGGTCGTTAAATAAATTGAATGGGCTTGTGGTCCATGAAAACGTATGGAAAAATATCATGCGTGTGTGACGTTTCAGCTCTTAGAATTGTATGAGGAGGAAATTGTAAAATTGAGGCTAACTTTGTACTTAGCTACATACCAGTTCCAGGCGAAGGACTGGACTTGACATCCACGCCAAAGGGGTTCCAGTGTCCTCCTAAGTGACTCCCTGCACAGGATTCCATTCCGGTGTACTTCATTTGCCATGGCATGGGATAGTTGTGAATGTGATATCCCTGAGACTCCTTTCTTAATCCAGTGAGCCTTATTTCCGTCATCGTGGGATCAAAGGGAGAGAGTTGTGTAAACTTGAAATAGCCGTCTACACCATCATGAACACTGGCTTTGAAAGTAGATATGAGAACTCTCGGTTTTACTTGCATTATCTTTGCGTAAGCAAAAGGGGTCATTGAATCGTCACTTGAGAACAATGTAATTGTCTTGCCAATAACGCTTTTGACACCAGTAAGTGGAAGGTTGGTGTCTGTAAAGGCCACTTTGGTTTTGGACTGTCCTCTTGTTGCCATGGAGACAGTGATGTTTCCATGCTTGGAAGTCAAATCACCAATCAGACATTTTTCGTGTTCTAACTGCTGGCTACAATTTTGCCTGTCTCTGTTTTCAGGATTGAAAACGTCACCGGGCATTCCGCAAGTAGCTGATGCTTGGTTTATCTGCCATGTAACCCGTCTACCAGATTGAGCATCGTTGGAATGGAAAAGGTTAACGAATATAGTTGTATCTGCGCTCTCATCAGCTTGCCGCAGATACACAAAACCAGCAACCGGCATAGTGAAGACAGCTACTGCTGTAAGCATAACTTTATCCGGGCTAATCAGTGAGCAAGCCCTTGGTGTGCCATCCTTGTAAAGAACAAGTGTTCTGCCCATGATGCTGTTGGCCCCTCTGATAGGAACAGTCAAATTCTGGTCTGTAAAATTTTTCTGTGCGTTGCTGGCATTTATAGCTCCCAGCATTCCTGTCAAGTCACCAGTGGCACATACTTGAAATCTTGAAGAACTTGATCGACTGCACGAGCTATTGTAGTCTGCAGATTTCATGGCCATCGCAGGGTCAAACAGATCTCCAACTACGCTTGGACTGCAACTCATAGCTGCATTACCATCGTAGATCATTGGAAGTTGTCGAACATCCCAAGTCAGGGTTTCGTTCTTGATACCTGTTAAGTTAAGTGAGATACTTGTGGGACTACCTTGTTGCGACTGGTAGAACATGACGTTACCTTTTATCCCACCCATGTTGAAAATGGCCTGGAGTTGAACACTTGTCGCCGATGAATACCAGATAAAACATCCTGTAGAAATAGATATTAAGTTGCTCGTCGTTAAAGGTGAATTCTACAATATTTTCTTTATTTGTTAGGTGGTTTGTAGTGCCAGCAAATGGCAGAGTTTTTGTAGTCAGACTCATGATTTTTGATCAAAAGTGCACCTGACAAGAGGTTTTCCTGTCGTTATTTTCGTTTCTTTCGTCGTAACGGATGGAAAGAAACTGATATCCAGATTCTAATTTTTGAGTCTTCCAAAGAAGCGTGTCTACTCTTATTCATTGTGTGAGGTCACTATGCATGTACGCACTTACATAGTGTGCTGGAGCTCAGGTTAGCATGCGCAGAAGCTGCCGTTTCAATCAAGGTTATAAATGAATATTCATATTTTATATTCAATTGAATAAAGCCAGACAAGCCGCAAAACAAAATTTAAAGTAAACATCTCATTTTGAGGTTATTCTGGCTGTAAATAGAAAAATCTCCTAAGCCGTTACCATAGATAGTAATTAAGCAGATATTAGGTTAACAAAGGCATACGCATATACATATGCATCCAACGACGTATGCGGACCAAAGGGCTTGTATTATGATTTGTAACAGTTTGCGTTTAACCGCTGGCGACAGATATTTGCTAAAGAAGGGTTGCCTTTCAGTTTTAAAAACAACAAGGTGAAGTAATGTTTACAATGAAATTGTCAAGTTCTCAGTAGGAGAGGGTCTCTGGCCATGATGAAGTATTTGAACGGTCAACATTTCATCTGTTCTTTACCATATTTTTTTCTGGGTTACTTGTCTTGTTGCGAATTAAACCTACTGAATGCAGATTGACCTTCCAGCAACATACAAAAATGGAAGAAATAAAAAAAAATGCCGGTATGTATAAAAGCTTTTCTCAGTTGAAGGAAAGAGTAAAACTATCTCTTTTTCTAGTGTTATAACAAGAACCTTTACAAAACGCAAAGATTCAGTCTTCTTTTAAGTAACTCATGATATTTTACAACCAGGGCTTGATAAGCGGAAGATTACGTGTAATCTTCGATTCGGCTGTTGATGCCATTTTACAATAAAAGCTACTACAGATGACAATAGAAATCGCTCACTGTGAGTTCAATTGCAATATCATATCACGTTTTTATTTTTTTCCACACACCATTAATCAGTTAACGACTGAATCGCTTCGATTGACCCACGGAGAGCATAATTGTAGTTAATTTAATAATAATAATAATAATAATAATTTTATTTATATAGCGCTAAAATCCAATAATTGTCCAAAGCGCTACCTAATTACAAAATAGAATATAAAAAATCTAAATTATAAAATACCTACAATATACAATATAATTCAAATATAGCCAAAGGTATCTACTATATAAATCAAAAACATCTTAAAACAAAAGGAATCTCATAACCTATATGCTAACTTAAATAAAAAAGTTTTTAAGGATTGCTTAAAAGTTGCCACTGAAGCACATTTCCTAATCTCTAGAGGTAAATCGTTCCACAATTTAGGTCCTGCAATAGAGAAAGCTCTGTCTCCATATGTTTTCAATCTGCTTCTTGGAACCACTAAATATTCTTTACATGAAGAACGCAATGACCTAGAGTTATAATTTGTCAGGCGGAATCGAAAACTTCCTATTACAGGTAAATTAAGCTAACTTAAGAGTTTGCCGGAGAGATGAGGTACCAGTTGCCAAGTTTCACTTCTTTGTTGCAAATTATAAAACGTGTTATAGAAGTGCCGAATTTAAGATAAATACCGAGAAGAGTTGTTTGGAGTGTTTAGAAAAATGATGAGACTCGCAAGCGACGCTTCGTCGACTCTTCTTTCAAAAACAACACCAGCAATCGCCCAAATATCTACACACTTAGAGGCATTCAGAGGCAAACTCTGAGGTGGGGAGAAAGGAAGGAGGTGGAATGAAAACTCCTTCCCCATCTGTCAGTCCTGGATAAACCAAGCGATGGCTCGAAGGGCAGCGTTTGAAACATTTTGCAACGGTTAATATCGCTGAGAAATACACATTCAAGTGCCTAAATTGCCGGAGGACATTAGGGATTTGAGCAATAAAAATAACAGAAAACACGTGCGCAATTAGTAACGAATGCAATAGCGACTGACCACCCACTTCTTTTATAGTCAGTCACCATCAGTCAAAAGTAACTGCTACATCCAGCTTCAGTTCCACCGCGGTCAAACGTCTGGGGAGAATTTTTCCGTTATTTAGCGAGATTTAATTTAAAACACTTGGGATTGGATTTTTAAGACATCCAGTCTGCTTAGATATCTTTCATTTTTATTGAAATAATGTGCTTTGCGTCCATTTTTGTAAATGGTACAGACAATTCCGCAAATTCAGTTTTCAAAGCTGTAGGACATTTTTATAGTAAATTTCTAAAACTTTAGAAAAGTAATACTGGGTCGTGATAGCATAATGCCGGGAAATACGTTAAACTTGAACAGTGAAATGAAAACGGCTTAACAATGAATTGTTTTGCTTCACATTTGCACACTTCTTCCGTTTCAGTGTTAGCAGTCAACCCTTGAGTATATA